TGTCTGTACCTACAAACATACACGCACAAGTACACAGAAATAAACAAATACTCACACACACGCGCGCTCACACATACACATAATCATACCTACACACACGCACACACACACATATACATAATCTTACCTACACACACGCACACACACACACATATACATAATCTTACCTACACACACACACACACACACACACACGTAATCATAACCCACACACACACATACGCAGACACGCACGCATACACGCACGCAAGCAAACAAACTCGCCGCGAGATTAAAGTGTGCTTGCACCGCCGCCTTGGAAAAATACAAAATGAGAAGAAGAGTTGATTGATTAAAATCTCTCCCACCGCAACAATAACACACGTGACCGGAACTACAAGATAGCAACCGGAAGTGAAGAGATTCAAAATGGACGACGATGATTTTGAATCTTGTTTGTTCTTTTTTTTGCATTTTTTTAGAAGTGGTTGAGAGGGGGGAGAAAAAAAATAGGAGTGTGATGGATGACTGGTAGAATGAATTAGCCCACTTGTGCGTGATGATGATGATAGTGATGATGATGACGATGATGATGATGATGATGATGATAATGATCGTGGTGGTGGTGGGGTTGGTGATGATGATGACGATGCAAAAAGTGGAATAATCCAACTACATTTAACCTATCCAAAATTCATCATCATCACCACCAAAATCATCATCATCACCACCCTCATCATCACCACCACCATCATCATCATCATCATCATTGCCGTCCTTTGAAACGTCACACCGCTGGCTAATGACGTCACTGGACCCCTGTGATTTATACTAACTAGCCTAAAATTATATCTCCTCATTCGTTTTAGGCATTTCCAAAATATGCAAAGGTCACCGAAAAAAATTCTTTTTACGATATTTTGCTTCATTCATTTTGAACTTTAACTTTCAAACATTTCAACGATTATTTTTGAAAATTTTATTATTTTTTTTTTAAGTTTTCATTAAATTATAAATAATTGTTAAGAAATATAATTTATTAGTATTGAAAGGCATCACGCACACATTGTGTGGGAATGGCTTTGCATTCAAACTCGCTCACTGCTAAAACAGAACCAGGCTATTCAACCACTACACCATCTTGCCGTTTGAATCTATTTTACAGGACTTTTTTTAATTTAAATTTCAGAGTACATTTTTAAATTATAGTTTCATCACGTTTAAAACATACTCTTTGTTCGTTTCACCTGGCTAGAGTAATTATTATTTTCACTTTTCTGTTGTTATGGCTACAAT